TTATAAGGGAACCTCATTGTGGAAGCTGAAGACAAGAAACCAAAATATGCAAATGTGCCTGCATAGTTCTGGCAAAGATATGGAACTCAAGAAAACAAAAGCTAAACCATTAGTGCTACAAACCTAAGAACAAGGCTCAGTGTGCACCATTTAGCTTTTAAAAGTATTTTCCCCCTCCAAAGGAAAAACAGGTTAGAAGCTACCAAAGGTGTGGGGACTATGCTGTTTTCAACAAGGTACCTTATGCATGATTATCATCAGTCAGAAAAGGTTAGATAGTGCACCCAATAAATTGAAGGAACTGGTCAGCAATCTATTTTTCAACTGAGATCTAAAAAAATGTCTAAGAACAGTGACAAAAAATTATCAGTAATATCAAACTGAATAATCAAAAACACAGCCCAGTTTGTGACTGGTGTTTGATTACAGTATGGCTTACTTTATCCAATGCAAAGACTGACTATTGCAAACTGTAGGAGAGAAGATCCTGTGGGGTCTTAATAACATGGAGATATTGTAACAATCTGAAATCTAAGTTACATAATTGAAGCTTAATCTTTCCTATCCTGAGAGTTAATGAAAAGCTAAACAAACTCAATGTGTGAGTAAAATAGCCTCATCGAGGTGCCCTGGTGGTACAGCGATTAGAATGCAGTATTGGGGTTTGATCCCGAGAGGGCTCAAGGTTGACTCGGACTTCCATCCTTCCAAGGTCTTTAAAATGAGGACCCAGATTGTCGGGGGCAATATGCTGACATTGTAAACCGCTCAGAGAATGCTGTAAAGCCGTGCTGTAAAGCCCTGTAGGGCAAATGCAAGTCCAAGTGCTATTGCTATCAAGATGTCAAGATGCTGAAAAAAAATGTTAAACTATATTTCAGTTGTTATGGAATCAGATAAAAAAAGCCTCAAACCAGTTTTCAACCTGATTTCTTAGGAAAATACAATAGCATAATTGATATGACAATAAAATAAAATAAAATAGGAAGTTTGGTTCACCCAAAACCAGGAGTACATGATTTCTATTGGTTTGTAGGCTGCAGGCAGTTTGCACAGCATGTCAAATTTTATGTTCTAAACTAGGTGAACACAATTTGTTTTTTGGGATGTGTGAAGGGCTTTAACCCTCTTCCAAAACTGGAAAAGGGAGGCTTTTTTTAAAAAAATCTATGAACTCTGCAAGTCATGGAAGCGATGTCATATATTTTGCAAACCTGATTTACATAATATGTATGTTTTCACACAATAGTGCCAGAAATATTCTGACCCAAACAGGTAAACCTGGTAGATATATGAATATATGAGAAACCTTGCAAAATAGGAAGTGTTATGATTATATTCAGATATCAAATGTATACATAAACAGGAAAGGACACAGAATGTAATGCAGCTGTATATGTATGCTTCAAAGATATACAGAGCCCAAACCTAAAAGCAAATTTCTTTAAGATAAAAATATCAGCCTACGTACCATGTTCCCAGACCTGTACAATATTCCCACAACCCATTATAAGTTGGGGAGAAATGAACCAGAGTTAGAGAAATCCTATAAACCTGGGTACTATCTTCCTCCTACATTATAGAGATAAATAGTCCCAAATAAATCATGACATTTCTAAAATACTGCATGCTGACTATACAATAGCTACTTACAATTCTAGCCAAAGTGGTGTCAGGGATCTGGTGCTCATTATAAACTATATTGCTATCAAATTTAAAAAAATTCTATGCCACTCAGAGTCACTGTATGGGCAGCATAAGAAATTTAAGAATAAAGTGAAATCTGTAGGGGAAGCCCAATGTGATCATATTTACCTTCAAAAATGGCCATCCCAAAAAAGGTACATTAGTTTAAACATAAGTCAAAGCAGACTTACTGCAGGAAGGTTCCAGTTCTCTGAAACAAAAAGGGTTACTAACAATATAATGAATGCAAACTCGGCTACAAGAGATGCAAATAGATTTGAGAAGATGTTGCTGTGGTTAATGAACAGTCATGAGACAAAAAAGACTTCCTTTAAAAAGTGGAAGTCTAAAATTAAGAAGAGCAAAAAGAACCCAATGCCAACAAAAGCAAATTTGACTTTTTAATAAAGTAAATGAAAAAGCAAGCGATTTAGAAAGCCTAAGTAGGACCTTCAGCAAAATGCTGCAGAATGTGAGTGTTCCCACTCAGAATTTTACTCATCCAATATAACTCCTCTCTGTTTCCTGTTTCTCTTCCCAACTGATAGACATTCTACAAGGCTGATTGGCATATTCAGTCATTATTCATTGGGGCAGGGAAGAGGGGTGGATAACCCCTTCAGTTCTTTTTTTAAATATTTTGTACTCCACAAATCTTCAATACATCCTACCTTTTTCTTTTTCATCCTCCATCTCTTAGCACAATTTTCTTCCTTGGACAATATGAACCTGTCTAATGCTCTGAGATTATATCTCCTGCTGAGAGCAAGTAGCTTGGCTAAATGCCTCTGTACTTCCTGATTTGATCTGTAATCCTTCCTCTTTCTATTATTTCCTGTGACTACACACATGTAACCCTTTCTAATGCTGTAGGGGAGGAGGTTTTACCATTTGCTTTATCAATGTTTTTCTACTTCTGCAAATATTAAAATAATTTTGAGCAAATTGTTATAAAAGATGCATTTTTCCAAGTAATGTTTGGCTTATTAATAATCAGCAAGCCAACTTCAATATCTCTAAACCCATCAGAAGTGGAGGGAGGAAAATCAGAATAGCTACACAATTAGATTCCAAGACTGAAAAGAATACTAAGCAAAACTACAGAGCAGCTGAATGCATTTGCCATGATTGCAGAAAATGCAGTCAATAAAGCCTTATTTTCTAAAAGGAGAATTATATCAAGCAGATGCAACAGGATTACATTTAGGTTTAACAGACATACTAAAAGTTTAAAAAATTATGTGTTTAGATGGCATATTGTAGCTAAAGCATGATCAAACTATAGTACTTTTGGGGAAATCCAGCTTCCAATGTATACCAGTTATAAAATCTCAAATGGATAATTATTTCTCAACCTAGCCTACCTTCTTGCAGAGTGGTTACCAAGATAAAATATGGGAAGGACCCCTGCCTCCACCTTGGATGAAAATCAGGGGAGAAATGTCATAATACAATGCAGTTGTTATAATCAGTCATTATTCAAAAAGTAATATACTTTTTTCTTTTTATAAAAATATGTAATAGACCCAGAAACTGTTTCAGATAAATTGATTGAAATCAAAATCAAGGGTTGAATTAAATATCCAAAAACAGCACTTTGCTGAACAAGAATCAGTGTATCTTCTATAAAGGAATATATTACCTTAAAACCTTTTCAAATTCAATTAGTGTTAGAAAACATGTATAGTGGCCAGTTACTTATACTTCCATACAAATGAATGAAAAACTTCCTCACCAAAGGCTTCTATAAAGTATGTGAGAAGAGAATAAATCTAATTAATCAGAAATAGTTTAAGTAGGAAGTTGAGGGTAGCAATAAATGGCTAGAATGCATCACGAATCAGTCTCCCAAAGGACTGATACATGTGGACTGATACATGTTTTAAAGGGCTAGAGGACAAGGTAACAGATAAAATAATTTGTAGAAGACAAATTATTTAATCTAGTGAAATCTTCCCATTATATACCTTCGAACTGATGAGCAGGCATGAAAATGGCAAATAGGGTCATGGTGGAGAGCTCAAAAGAAGTTAAATCATGGTGCAACAGCAGTAGGAACATTGATGATAGGAGTAACTGTAATTTTTTTTGCAAAATATGATGAATATGGAGAAAATTAACGGGCATTTTCTGTTTTTTAGAAAACTAGAATTTGAGTTCACACAATGATAGAGAATTGCCACAAGCAAATGCTTTTACAAAATGCATAACGTAGGGAATTCACTGCTATAAAATCTAGTGTTTGAAGAGGGGATTAAGCAAATTCACAAGCGAAGATATTATGTTCTTTTCTTAAAATAAATTGAGAGTGTCCTTGTTCGGGAATTAATGCTGCATACTGTTTGCATTTTTGGGACGGGAGTAGTGGAAAAAAGGTACAACAAACAGCTTCAATCAAGTTCTGCTGATTTGTTTCCTAAATGCTTCAGAATGGCCACCATTGCTAATTTTCTGGTTACTGCAGTGGAGGAACCCTTCCTCTGATTCATCAGAGTTCCTTCCATGATTTTCACAACAGCTCCTCCCCTCTCCCGCCCCAGAAACGCACATCACTCTATTTGAATTCACAGCATCGGGTCAAAAATGTAACTGGGGAAGGTGCCAAATTACCTTCACTTACATAATTCTGGAGTTTAGTCCTGGAAAACACAAGATTCCCAATGAAATGGCCTATGGGGAAAAATCCCTTAAAAGGCAGGTAGGGGTGGGTGGGTAGGTGGGTGCTTATTTCATTGAAACGAATAAGAAAAACGATGGTAAAATTAATTGGAAGTTTATTTTTTATTGTTTTAAAACACCGTCAAAGAAAGGAATAGCTATGGGGAGAGGGGGGGGAAAGGGGGATGGAGCAAAAAAAGGAGGGCAAAAGAATACTGAGAGAAATGGGAAGATTTAAAAAGAATGGAAAGGAGGGGGGGGGAGGGAAGCGATATACATAATGCCAGTTTTCAAGAGCCTGCACTGTTTTTTTCGAAGGAGCCGTAGCAGCAGGCGTCTAGCATGCAGCCCGCCCAAAACACGTACGCCTTACTGAATACCCCTCAGAAAGCATTCCATCCAAATTCAAACGCCTCCGTTCGAGACCAGAGATTTTTCTCCCCGTCTTCAACCGTCTTTTCACGGGAATTCTTCTTTTCCAAAGGAAAAAGGCCGCCACTCCCTCGGGCAAAAAAAAAAAAGGCCTCACTGACCCCGCCCCCCCCACCCTCCGTGTGTCAGGCCCTCTCTCGTCGCTTCAGACGGGGACGTGCACATAACAACCTCCCGGGACACCCCTCCAGACCCAACCTCAACCCTTCCCTCCGCGGCGGTACCGGAGCTGCGGCTCATGCGCTTCTCCCAGCCCGCGGGGAGCTTCTCCTCCTCCGCCATCTTTCCTCTTCTCACGGCAGCAAGCGCAGAGCCGGCCCCGCCCACTTCTCCTGGCAACGCCGCCACCGCACGCGCTCAATAGCACCAGCGGCCTTTCTCGCGACACCAGCGCTTCTTTCCCGCCATTGGCCGCTCTGGCGGGAAAGCCTCGTTCCTATTGGCGGGTTTTGTGAAAAAGAAAAAAAAAAAAGAAGGCGATGGAATCCCTCTCGGAGAAAGCCTATCTAGCCTGTCCACGATCTGAGTCTCATTGAAACTATTGGTAGAGGAGAGATGGAGGCGGCGGAAGGTCGAAAGGAGGATGAACTTCGGCGAGGGCGGATCGGCTTTAAAAGGCCGGAGTCTTTTGAAGCGTAAAGATGGAAATCTTTTAATATCCGCGCAAGCTGGATAACATTCTCTAAAATGGTGACTCCTGCCCCATTTTGAAATGCATCCTTAAAAACCCTCCTGCCTTTAGTTGGAAACGGTGAGAGTTAAAGCTCGAGAATTGCCTATAATGAAATTGAGTCAAAATCAGCTAGAGATGCAGGCAGATAAGTTGCTCGCTTCTCCAATTCCAAGATTAGTTATGGCCTCTTTTGAAATTCAATCTGCACACCGTAACTGTGCTAAGCTAACTGCTGAAAGAGGATAGTATTAGTCATAGGGGAGCCTCCCGACTAATTCCAGTCTTGGCATGTGGGTCCTCCGTACAGGTTTTTGTTATTACATTTATAGGCCATCTTTTATGGTGGCTCAGCTTGTACAATTGGCAATGTAAATTTCTTGGGTAATTTTTTAATGTCGGGGGTCAGACCATTTGCAGTTTGGTCTCTAGCAAAGATCATTTTCAGCCCTCCTACCCTGAAGCTACGGATAGTCCTCGACTTACAACAATTCATTTAGTGACCAACATCACTGAAAAAAATGGACCATTTTTCACACAACCATTACAGCATCCTCATTGTCATGTGATCAAAACTCAGATGCTTGGCAACTGACTCATATTTATGATGGTTGCAGTCTCCTGAGACCATGTGATCACCTTCTGACAAGCAAAGTCAATGGGGAATCCAGATTCATTTAACAACCATGTTACTAATTTAACAAGTGCAGTGATTCACATAACTGGCAAGAAAGGTCGTAAAATGGGGCAAAACTCACTTAACAAATGTCTCATTCAGCAACATAAATTTTGAGCTCAGTTGTAATTGTAAATCAAGGACTAGCTGTATTGAAACGTGCTCTGTTCTCACTTGTGAAAAAGCACCAGGAGACTGTCTCCCATTGTAACAAATGCAGTCTCAACCTCTCTCTCACATGGCTTGGACCACATAAAAGAGAGTATATTGTTGCACATGCTTAAGATGCTTAGTCACTTTGGGCAAAATTGTCTCAAAAAACAGGGTTGGGTTTGAGTGGAGGTGCAAGAGACCTGTAATGGGAGACACAAAGAATTACCTGCAACTGAGTGTCTGTATGCTAGAATAATTGCTTGTGCAACTGGGTAATAACGTCATTTGCCTAGATCCAGTATGGCAAAGTCCAGTGATCTCAAAACTAAAATCACAGGTACCCTAGAAGGACTAGATAATTAACCCAAGATTTCAATGTTGAAGTGATAAATACTTGGCACAAAAGTCTCTGATAAGTAAAACATGTTTTATGATATGCCATTGATCATAATGTTATTAAGTGAAAAATATTACAAACTAGCTAATCTTCCCCAATAGCCTTTGGAAGTTCATGTTATATATCTTTGCTCTAGTCTATGTCAATCCTTTATTCATTGTATTTTCTCTTGCTCTGGCTTTGCATTATGATAGAATAGAGGCAGCAGTTTTCTTTATCAGATTTCAGAGTGCAAGAAGGGAGAATCTTAATATACCTGGAAATCTGTTACATTTGTTTAGCTCCCACTCTGGAGTCCAACATGCGTTCCAAGTGCGTTCAATACCAAAAGGCTGCTCTCACAAAAAGGCAGATTATTAATTGATTATATGCCATCAAGTCATTTTTGACTCCTAGTGATCACATAGGTACAGTTCATGACGATCTGTCCCTAACTGTCAAGTTTTCAATGGTACATTCATTGCTACTGTAACTGACTCCATCCATCTTGTTACTGGTCATCCTCTTTCCTTCCATCTTTTCCAGCATTAGAGCCTTTTCTAAAGAGCTGTGTCTTCACATATTGTGCCAAAATAGGATAATTTAAACCTAGTAATTTGTAATCAAGGGAGAACACAATGATCACAATGATGAATCACTGAGTTGATTTATTTGATGATCCATTAATTTGTTTTCTTGTCTGTCTTACCATATTCTCAGGATTCTCTCCAGCACCAAAGTTCAAAAGGGTCAGTACTTTTCTTCTTGTTTCTTCAAAGTCCAACTTTTGCTTCCATAAGGGAATACCATAGCTTGCACCATTCTGATTTTTGAAGGTATAGATACATCACAGCATTTGAATATCTTTTCCAAGGCCTTCATGGCTATTCTATCACGTATTAATATGTAGCATTTTTATGCTTGATCCTAAAGGCAGAAACTATCCACCATTTCTGTATCTTCGTACTAATAAGCATGGCAAGATCCTACAGGTGAAATTAGTAATAGGCATGCAAAAAAAGCTGCCCTTAAAATAAACTGGGTGCACCCACAAGATGACTGCAAATTTGACTACTTTGCAAAAGCTCGGCTAGTTTGCATATTCTGTGGAACAATATTCTATTAAAATGGAAGATGTTTGGTAGCACCTTTTCTGTGTTCGATTGTGTCTACAAAGGGGGAAGTTGTGTGATGGATTACACTACAGTGAAGCAGCAGTTTCCCAGGGAAGAGGAAGCATATTTCAAGGATGGTCGAGACAAGAGACAACACAGCCTGGACTTGGATCAGAAAAAATGGAAGAGATTTATGATAGTCCTAGAATCTCTCACAGTATATCGACAGTTTAGAGCAGTGTAGACAAGATTCTCTCCATACAGTGTAAACAAAGAGCTAGACTTTGGCTGGATTGTTCTATGTCATCCTTGGGCTGGGTCTGACATTTTCCAACTACCTAAAAATTTGTTAATCAAAAAAGGTACCAACAGACTCAATTTTTTTTGCCCCCATAGGTACATACTTCTCTTACGTTTCTATTATATTTTGTAAATTACAGCAGATCCCCAGATGGTAGTAACAAGAGTGACAACCACTACTTAACTGGAGGCCAAAAAAGGGAACATGTACTAAGGAATGTAATGGATTTCACTTTTCTGCACAACTCCATATATTATTATGATGAATCCTAATCCTAAATTATTTTACTGCTGTCAATAACTCTCACCAATAAATATATGTTAAAATGTGGAAATATACAGAAAGAAAATACTCATAGCCTTTGTCAAGCTTAATTATAAGTCTTTTTATTTTTGTAGGATTTAAAGGGCAAACTGTTCGGTCTTTTATCCCTAAAATATAAGTACACTGATACTGATTATTAACACCAAGATGGATGGGGAGAGAAGTGTTCTATAGCAGAGACCCCCAACCTTTTGGGCACCAGGGACCAGTTCCATAGACAGGTTTTTCCGTGGACCAGAGGGGCACACGCTGCCTGCATTCTGCGAATGGGGCTTCACTCGTTTGCGCGGCCCGGTTTCTGGCATGCCGTGGCCCGGTGCCAGTCCATGGACCAGGGGTTGGGGACCCGTTCTGTAGGATAAAAAAATGAATCTGGACTGGGGCTGCCAAGAGTAGCCTGTTCCTAGTAGAGGCTCACAATTTTTTTCCCTTGCTTGAAATATCAAATTCCATCTATCAAAAAATGTCATTTGCTAGGGCCTAGAAGACTTTTCTATCACAGTGTGTGACCTTAAGAACACCCTACCCTTCCAAGACCCAGTTTGGTCCTAACACTGCTGGCATTTCATAAAAGCTTTTAAAACATCGCTATGGGGTTGGAAGATTACCTTGATCTGTGAGACTGGTAGGTCATCTGCTGATTTGTTTTCTTCAGTTGCCATTAGGTATAGATATCACTGTTCAGTAACCCTGTATTAGCCACCAAAGGTTACTATTTTGAAATTAGTAGCCAGATATTCAAATAATGTTTATAAATAATCCCTTTTAATTTAAAAATAGGATGTTTTGCTGAAAAGACCATGCTCTACTGTACAATTTATTTTTGTGACTGCCAAAGAGTCGTGTTTATAGATTACTGTGTATTTGTTGTGATGGTGTGGCAGTTTCATTTTTTTCTCTCTTTAAGTTACTTTAAACCACCCATAATTATTATATATATAATATGTCCTTAATGATATATATACCACCCATATATACACAATATATGCTTGTCAATCCCAGCATTAACCACATACCTATACATGCAGTATATCATTCCCCTGTAATCAACAATAATGTTCCTTAAGCACGTATTAGAATATGTTTTGATAAATCCAAGATTTAGTTTTTTTAAGTAACTCCTATTTAAAGATGGGAAGTATGCTAAATGATTAATATACCTGCCTTTATGCAGATGAGTAAAGATACTTTTTGCAGTTTCATTAATTTCTGTGTGAGTACTACTTTATTAGGTAATTTTTAATCCAGTAATTAGTTTTATGGTTATAGTGTAAGCTATTAAAAACAGTAAAAGCACAGCAGCAAATCAAAAGATAATACAGGAAATAAAAATATATACAATCATATATGAAATCACTATCCCAGAATAATGAAGGCATTTAAAATTAAAACTAGGTTGTCAAATGTTATTTTTTATTAAATAGTGTAGTTACATTGTAAAAGCAAATACAAATTAAATTCAGAAAAATAAAAGTATAAAAAGGGCAAAGAAAGAAAGATTTAAAAAATCTGTAACGTGACTTTCAATCTTTATCACAAGTAAAAACAAATTTGATAACTCTTTATCCTCTGTAAGATTACAAACGTATCTCATGTTCCCATACATAACCCACCCCTTATCTATATGTAAATCCATGAATCATCAATTTTTCAGTCCTGGTGTTGGCAAACAACTTTGTATTCCTTCCTTTCATTTTTAACAAA